GGTGGTGGAGACTAAAATGGAGCTAAAAGAAATGTAAATATTGTTCAAATACATTCACTGGCTAATGTCGTTCTGCATCTCCTGGCTATGCAATAACATATTTGCTATAACAACTTTGTGAGGTCACCATAAATGTGTGGCCCAAAAGAATGATAACTCATAAACATAGTTAAGTTTCTTCCCTGCTGACATTGTGTAACTTTCTCGGAGGTTAACGTCGGATTTTGTGCTCAGCCAGGATTTTAACTCTCTTAATCTGATTCCGCAGACATCAGAAGACCCTCACAGCTGAGACAAATCCCTCCAGCAAACAGAAATGAGCCAGAGTTCATTTCCCATTAGGATGACGACAGATCTTTCGACTCGAGTCAGAGTAAACAACACCTTGGAGGTCTGGCTGTTTGTCTATTTGTTTGGGAGAATGAGTCGGGAGATTCTCTGTTTCTTTAGGTTTCATACATGTGCATTGGACCAGAGGTGAGAGTGTTGGAGTTTATCTGCTCAGCTCCTTTTGAAGCCATTGAAATGTCGACACTTACAAATCTAAAACTTTTTAGAAAAACTTCATAACTCATAAATCATTGAATACTTGTCAATCTCCTCAGACATTGTGAAATCTCACTGTTCACTGAAGAGATTTCTAAAGTGCATATTCATATTTGGATTTTAACCAACAGAGGATTCTTTCCCACACTGCTTCTATCATTAAAACATTCATTTCACTGTTGATGTCCTTTTAGCTTCTCTGTCAAGTTTCACATTTTTATAAAAAAACACACTTAGAAACCTGATTCTTTAAATCCTCCACCGAGGGGTGTGCTTGTCTGCCACTGAGTTATGCATTGTTGAGCTGCAAAGCTTTCTTTGCAAGTGTATTGTTGAATCGAGAAGTGTCTTTGACAGGAAACAAACAGAGAGTGTAGCCACAGTGAGTGCAGAATGAGGAACTCTCAGGGTTCAATCCTAACCTGTTTAGACAGTGAAGGTTGCATTCATGGGCATCTGACCAGAACCTTTCAGACTACTAATGTTCCCTACACACACACACACACACACACACACACGCACAGTGAGCCAGTATGTACAAATGAACCTGCATTTCCTTATAGATGCACCGTGTTGATGCAGATGTAATATGCATGATTAAAACAGGTACACACATGGGTGCACACACAACCCTCCCACCACATCCACACACAGTGCTCATGAGCAAACTTGGCTGTCTTCGGCCCACCATTGTTCACTGGCGCTGAGGCATCCCAGGGCTAAGTGAGGGGCCCTGATGGATACCTACCAGACTCAGACCACCAGTAAAGGTGTGAGAGGAGGAGAAAGAGAGTAAATGGAGGAGTTTTGAATAGGGGACTAGAAGATGGCAGAAGATAGTAGAGATTGTAGAAATGGAGAGGCAGGAAAAAAAAATCTATTGTCCCATTTATTGAAATGAACAGGTGTGTGCAAGTGTAATATGGATGCTTCCCCTCTGTGTGCATGGCCTGTGAAACAAGATGCCCGTTGTCTTTTCTGGGAAACACACTCCACTATAAGAATGTTTGGTGTAGCATCCAAAAAAAACACCCATAGTACAATTTTCAGGATAGAAGATCATCTAAGTCAAATTTCCAAAATGCAAAAAACATCCCAAACAATATTTTTTAAGCAATTACACTCCTTTACATTAGTTGCAAGAGGATTGTTACATTACTTGTGCATTTCCTTTTTTTTTATTAGTTAGAATCGAGAAAACCCAGTCCAATATGCACACCACAATGGCATCACAACAATCAACATCCCTGGGCACAAAAATAAAAACGTAAACATAAAAGCTCCACTAAAAGCAAAGTCGCTTGTTGAAACTCCGCTGAGCCCACGTACATCGCATTTTTAGCCCTGGAGCTTTAACACATCAAAGTGTCAGTGGTATAAAAGTGCAACAGTGGGGAGAAAGTTACATTCACATAAATACGTGTTTCTATTTTCAATCGCAGCAACCGGAGCAACCTGCTGGCTGTCATTGGTGGCCATTCGGGCGTCACCAGTGAAGTGGAGGCTACTGTCTGGCACTTGACTGACAAGGGTGTGAAGTGACAGATGAGAAAGCAAACACACAAAGGTCAAGACCCTTCACGTACTGGAAGAAAGGGGGAATCGGTTGTAACGTGAGAGCTGCATATTCAGAAACAATGCTGCATTGGTGAAACTGGAGATGCTGAAATGTTTCCAATGCCCAGGTCGAGTCATGTGAGAGTTGACAATAAAAAAATGAAAACTTGGAACTGCTTGCGAAGATCCAAATATTTGATAAATGCTAAAATATATATTGATTTTATAGACAGTATATAAGAAAAGAATGTGTCTAGATGCCATGAATTATAGTTACATGACTCTTCCTCTCTGCCTTACCTTCTCACCTCTCCTCCCTCCCTCCCTCCATCTCTCTGACAGTGGGAGACATAATCAGGTTTTGTGAGATTTGTGAGTAGATTAGCAGCCACCTTGTGTCAGATAAGAAGCTGCACTGATAAAGCCCTGTCCTCGGAGGCGCATGGCTGTGATGAAACACCATATCTGACATGAGCAGATCTGTTAGGAACACAATTAAGACACTGTCTGGCCATATCTACTCGCACTTCTCTTATGCCTGATAGTCCCTCCGTTCTGTTAGGGGTGATGTTGGTAGGGGAACAAAAGACTTTAAAACACATCCTCCATGTAAACCATGGAACTGGACGAATGGTTTTGCTAAAGATAACAGTGTGGTCTACTTTTCCTGTAGATTCGTTTATGATCAACTAGCACACTGTAGTTGAGAAATCCCATTTTCGACTGAAGGCACTTTAAACAACCAGCCTGGCTTGGCCTTGTGATCCAATGATCCAGAGGAAAACACAAGAGCCGGTAAATGAGTAAATATAACAAGGAGGCTTTTATCTATAATCCAATTTATACAGGCTTACCTCGCCTAGGTAGATAGAATATGAGTCTAAACTTGATCTCAATATACAGAGAAACACACGTGTACCATGCTTTTGCTGAAAAGCTGCAACTGGTCCGTATAAATCCAGGTGAGAGCAGCTTTATGTGCCTGGATAAACTTGCCAGCCACAAAATCCAAACCTGGAATTCCTCTTCACAGTGGATGAAGTGATAAAAGCTGCATGTGCGTCCACGCTGCATCTGCATCTGCATCACTGGAATTTATTTATGTTCCAAGCATACGCACTTGCATACTCATACTCATACTGAGTCTGTACCAACCCCTGTCTATCAGGAGAGGTCGTAACTTCAGTTGCATCTTTTGGAAATTCGCTTCTCAAAAAGTCATCATCAGGACGCTGTTGTTACGACACACACAAGACCAGAGATAGTTTTTTTGTGCAATATGCATTATGCACTTTGTGTGCAGATCTGCAGAGTACATCTTCCCCTGCTGCAAAGGAGGGAGGCACAGGTCTGCTGATAAGATCCATCACTTAGGGACTGATGGAGCAGGCGTCCGTGCAAAGAAGAGGTGGGAAAAGTAGCGGCAGTCACTCATTAAGTTTGGTTTCCAGAACAGCAAGCTTCTTTTACCAGGAAGCTGAAACACCTCACAGTCTAAGTAAAACATACATGATGAATAATATCTGCATCAAATCATTGTGTATTGCACTCACAGCCTTTTTTCTGGCCTGTGTTGCAGCACATGTTCCTCAGCGATGCCCCTCAGAGAATCATTATCTCCATAAAACGCCACGAGGGGCTTGAGTGCTTCCACCCACAACCTCTTTAACCCACATCCATTATTCAGGGGGAATCTAGTGGAGGCTGATCTGCAGGGAGAGCGGAGGAAGCCACTGATGTCTCGCTCTTACAGCTAAAGATGATCAGGGGATGTCTGATAGCTTTGAATACGACCAGTACTCACATTTTATTTATTGTTTTAGAGTCTGCCTACACGTGACTGCTCAGAAATGTGCTTGTATACAGTACACAGACAGAAAAAAACCCAACTTGAAGCACAATAGACAATGATGTGATGCAGATATAGATATTATTAGTGTTTGATACTTGGCACATGGAGAGAATATTAGACATGCTCTGCTTCATCTGTATTTTGAGTATTCCTCCATCTTTGTATTTTATTTTTATTTCTGAGCACATGGCATAGATATATTTTTCTACCACACCCTCAAAACTCAACTTAACTTATTCAAATACATTAATACAGTTGTATTTCATTGGATGTTTAGATTGCATTACATTGTATTGCATTGTATAAATGGCTAACAATGGTTCAGTTATGTGTTTCCCTTGGTGATTGCCACCGTGCTTGTCACATTATGCTCCAGTTGCTGTAATAACGGTAAGATAATCTGCTGCGTGCAACCGGATCCCAATTGAATGGTGAGAAATGAATGAAACATGTGACAAGGTGTGATTAGTTATCCGCCAATCTCACTACAGTGTTTGTTGACAGATGGGTCCTTTGTCGAGGTAATTTGTTCAACAGAATAACCAGGTAGATAATTACCTGTTTGCTTTTGTGGCTGTCAGGGGCCCATTGTTTTGTTAAAAACATCCTAACAGGGAATATTCATTGTTCAGTACAGGGTAAAACCAAAGGGGGTCATTGTATGTAGCCGTCCTGAGGCCACATGATTTCCTTTACTTGACTTTGCTTCTTTTTATTTGCATACTGGTGCATATTAAATCTTTGTCAGTCCTGCAGCAATGGAATTCCAGCAACCAGCAGATTCCACTTTTAAAAGTGGAATTAAATATCATCCAGTTGTTTAGCAGGCCTCACTTTTTTTTTTACCTCCAAACCGCAGCTGTTTATAGGTTCAACAGCATCAGATTAGACCACTATTCATCCGGGATGCAAATAGACAGGATAGGGTTTTAAGAGGCTGCAGCGGAAAGGGGTGTGACGAGGGTGTTGTATTTCACGTCAAACCACCTGGAGAGGAGACACTTAAGGCGCGCTGGTGCACGGTGCCAGCGGCAGTACAGACTCCACTCACGCACAGAGGGCCCTTGAATGACATTACCTGAATAACCGTATTGGAAGGAAGACTGTGCTCCCTCAGGCAATGGAGAGCAGAATCAGACCGCTTGGCCTCGTCGCGAACCCGCTCGGTGGCTTGCAGGTGCCCCCTTCCCTCATGCGCCCTCCGCCTCTCTTCCTCCGGGCTTGTAATCCAACACTGGAGAGGGGATACCCGCGCACCCCGAAGTGCGCCAGATGCAGGAACCACGGCGTAGTGTCCGCGCTCAAGGGCCACAAGCGCTTCTGCCGCTGGAGAGATTGCGTGTGCGCAAAGTGCACCCTCATTGCGGAGCGGCAGCGGGTGATGGCCGCGCAGGTGGCGCTGAGGAGGCAGCAAGCCCAGGAGGAGAGCGAGGCCCGGGAGCTGAGGCTCTTGTACTCCGGTCCAGGGATCGGAGGGGAAGCGGGGATCCCTCAGGGGTCACCTGTGGGCCCCGGGGTGCCTGCGACAACCAGCAACACTCCAGCTGCTCCCAGTTTTGATGTTTTTGGAACAGAGATGCAAAAGGATGGTAAGTTAAAATAAAAAAGTCACTTCTGATTACCGTCATTTGTATCATCACAATTTATATTCACAATTATGTGTTACTACCTTGGTTTTATGCACAACACAAATTAAGGGTTTTTTATTTTGGAAGGTTGCTTTGTGCGCATTTTCCGCACAGTTTGGATGCAAACATGACTTTAAACTACATTTTTCTCTTTCATGTACATTTCAGATGACAAACTTGGCAAATACAACTTTTACAACGGATTCATGGGTCGACCCCTCTTTGCACCCCACTCCACACGGCTGCCCTCCCCAAGTGCCAAGGAGTTGTCTCCAGGCAAAGACACAAGCACGGCCGCTTCATTCATCGAGGACAGTGCGAGTCCATCCCCGGTGTTCGATCAGCGCTCAGACCACACAGAGAGCCCGCAGAGATCACTCTCCTCCTCGGACCCCGAGTCAGGGAGCGAGACGGACAAATCCCGGGACATATACCCGAGCCTGGAGCGCAACCCCACCGACATCATGGCTAAGATTTTCCCGCATCAGAAGCGGGACACACTGGAGTCTATGGTGAGAACGTGCAAAGGTGACATTGTCAAATCCATCGAGCTGGTGTTGAGCTCCAAAGAAAACAAGATCGACTCAGACAGCTCGTCTGTGTCTAATCACCCAAACTCGCTCAGGCCTTCAGTGGGACTGCCCGGAGCGCTCGGTGCAATGGGGAACAAATCCGCCTTCTCCCCGCTCCACATAGCACCTCCGGCCGCCGGGGGAGAGAGCATGTACGGCCTCAGCCCTCGCCTCGGCCTCAGCCCTTTACGGCTGGCCTACTCCTCTGCAGGTTTCGTGTCACCGTACATGACATCAGGACTGATGCCAGTGTTTCCACTGCGTCCGCCCCTGGACTCGTATTCTTTCCCAGGCATGTTCCGTGACCTTTCCTACCTGCAGAGCAAAGAGTCTCTGTGCAACACAGGCCTGTACGCACGACTGAACAGTGAAAAATGACAGTAATAATAAAAACACATGAAAATGTTTATTTTTTTAGTTTATGATATTCTAAAGCGTCTTTCTGATGTACTTTTTACAAGAGCCTCCACTTACAGAAAACTATGCGTCCTGACAATTCCGTTTTTATTTTGTAAATGTTGTCAAAATGGTTTATTGTTAATAAATTGTTAAAAAATAAAAGGTGCACTTGTTTAATTCTATCTATCTATTTTCAACTTCACTTCCAGGTACATTCAATACTTCAACTACATTAAAATGCAACTTCATTTAACTCAAGTAGAAAAGTAAACATGGTACTTTTACTTGAGTACATTTTTATTCATGTTTACTTAAATGTTGAATGCATGAGTAACTCCTCAACTATTGGTATAAATACAAGTTTTTCTCCTTCAAGCACATATTCACACAAGTAGGGACAAGTCACAATACTCTTTGTATTGTGCCTTTCTAAAATTGGACAGATCCTGTGTTATACAATGGACTTATCCTTGATTATGTATTCACACTTAAAATCAACACATTTGTTGCTCCACACAATAATAACACAAAGTAAAAGTTAATGTGCACAACCAAAGCTGAGGTACTGGGAGCTTTTGGCACTTTAAGTTTTAGGAAGAAGAAAAGATCGAGGAACCCATGAATCCGGTGTCAAAACTTTTCATCGCTCATTTTCAGTTTTATTACAGCTTGTATAATAAAAAGTGGCAACATCAAATTAAGTAAATGAGGATTTAATGTCGCTTCACAGTATTTGTTTCAGTTGCTGAAGGAATATGAGGTCAAATGTCAGAATGGAAGCGTCACAATGCAGCGAATGAGCAGAATGTTAGTGTCCAAAGGTCAAATAGCTGAAATGTTGCTTTATAGTGAAATAAACAGAACGTAGGAATGATACGATGTCACAATGTCACTGGTGATGATTGGTTGTGAGGAAACTTTCTGTCAAAAATAAATCCTGTTGGTTTATAAAGCAATGAACAGTTTGGGGCCAAAACACATTTCTGATCCACATCTACATCTAGACCCCTTCAGGTCGTCATGGGACCAGTCTGCTTTCTGTCCCCGGAGTGAAAACACTACATTGTTACTTTCACTCTTTTATTTCTTCTCTATCTTTTACCCACCATGTTACTCTTCTAATTTCCCCTTTGAACCCTATTTTTGGTTATTGTCTTGTTTTGCTTTAACAATTTGTCACTATGCCTTTTATATTGTCTGTAAAGCATTGAATTACTTTGTTGTTGAAATTTGAAAACCAAATAAAGTGGCCTTGTGTAGAAAACTAGTATCCTGCAATTTTCTACATGCAGGCAACTTGTCTTATTCCACTATACCTGTTGTATATGAGCTGTTCCTAAGATAAGATAAGATAAGCCTTTATTAGTCCCACAATGGAAGAATTTGCAATATAACAGCAGCAATAATAAAAAATTTGCACCAGTAAGTAATAAGTAACATGCAATACTTAACTGTAAGGATAATAATACTTAAGTCCAGGGAATACAGCAAATAGGATAATATGAATGGAATAAAAACTAATATATACAGTGTAAAAACAAGAAACGTGCAGTGTGAGACTATGTACAGTGAATAGTGCACAGTTAAGAAAGTTAAACAAGATTTGGTTAAAGTGTGACTTAATAAACTTATTGAACACACCAGAAAATAAATAATTATATTCATTCTGCAGCACAAGGCACAAAAATACAGTTATTTAAAATGTTTAAATTATATTTCTCTTTTTTTTTTTATATATTTGCCTCAGAAGCCTTTCTCACTCGTGATTGGTCGCGGAGGACCTCGCAAGCAACCAGTAGAACGTCCCTCTCGTGTCACGTGACCGCTTGTTTCAGGAAGTCGTGGTCTCGACCAGATTTAAATGTCGTCTGCGGACACGCCGAGTGTGAAACACGTCTGAGAGGGTTTTGCTTTGAGGACGGAGGGAAACCCTCCGCAGCTTCGTGCCCTCGGACATGCGTCTCCACGTTTGGGTCGCTGCCATGTTGTGGTGTGGCGTCGCCGAGTCGCGGAAGATAAGAGGGATTTCTTCGTCCTGTGAGTCCCCCCCCCCCCCCCCNTCTTCGTCCTGTGAGTCCCCCCCCCCCCCACCGTTAGCTTTAAGCTAACGAGCTCCCCTCACACGTTCGGAGTAAACGCTGCAGCGTCCTCACACTGAAAGCTGCTCAGGGACAGCTCACACACCACACGAAGCAAAAGCTCATGATGTCTCTGTGGACACTTTTTAAAAAGTTGTGCACACAATAATAAAAAAAAAAAAAAGTTTGTTCTCGATCCCAAACGGTACTTTCATCAAGCTAGCTCCATGTGTCCTCACAGACCCCCCCCCACACACACACCGCACCTCTGAGCTTTTATGAATTATAAAGACACTAGATTTGTTTGGCTGTGTTGTTGCTGCAGTGTGACTTGTGTTCTTGTTGTGTGACAGACAAACGCTTCTACAGGGAGAGGAAGTCGTTTCTGTGCATCGACGGATCTAAAATCATCCCCTTCGAGCAGGTGAACGATGATTACTGCGACTGTGACGATGGCTCTGATGAACCAGGTAATAACACAGAGCTGTGGGCCAGTGAGTGTTGACTACTTTAAACGAATAAAATACTGTTCTCTGTGTGTTGTATTTAATTCCTGACAGACCAAGACAATAACTTTGTTAAGCTGTTAGACTTTCACCTAAGAAATAAAGCCAAAATCACAGCTGCTCTTTTCTTTTTCTCACCTTTTTCTTCTCACACAGTCTGCATCCATAAGACTTTGTTCTGGTTTGAAAAAGGCATTTCCAAATAGTAGTTATCCCTACGGTGGCTCAAGAGAGCCCAACATAATAAAAACACGTGCAAATTAAGAAAACATCATCGATGTGTGCTGCAAAAAGTCAAATCACAAGCAAATATAGAAACAACAATGTAAAAAAGTTGGTTGTGCTTTCAAATAAAATGTAGAAGTTTGGATGTAGCCTTTGACTAATGCAATGCACTGTTTATATTATGTACGTCAGTGTCTGGGCTTCTTGCCTCCCTTCCTTGATTTAAAGATTCACTTGATACGTTTTAAAGCTTAGCACGGTCTCAGGCTATATAACAGAGCCACTAACTCCAAATGCTAGTCGAAGATCTCCCAACCAATACTTGCTACTGGTTCCTCAGTAACGGTTGGTAACTGTCACCGAGCTCCTGCATCAGGACCCCGAGGCTCTGGAACTCCTTCCCTGAGGAGAGAGGACTTGCCAGCTGTTTTTATGTCATCACTTATTTCAAAGAATTTTGTAACTTTGTTTAGATAAGTGCTATAGAAATAAGGTTATATTTTCATTATTATTATGATTTGATATTGCACGATTATGTTATTTTTATACATATGAGTTTTTGAACTTGTTTTTAATGTATTACTGTACCTTGTGCTTCATTTCATTTGCAAATACTGCTTATTTATGTATATATATATATACATATGCTGAAATTTGATCTCAAGATGAATGTGCTTCATTGTCTGTTTAATAATCGTACACTGTTTTGAAAGAGATGATTATTTATCCAATAAACCTGACTTTGGAATTCTATGTTTACCGTAGGATGGTTTCTAGGTAATTTATGTTTATCTATAAAGCACTTTTTCCACATATAAAAGTCACAAAGTGCTAAACGGCAATAAAAAGTTAAAATCATAGTTGAACAAAACAAAACACACAGCATAAAATAAGGACCCTGTACATGACAGTATGGTTTCAATGATCAATGCTGTAGTGTTGTGTATGTTGGTTTTTTATGCAAATGTTTGTTTGAGAAACCAAAGCACATGATCTGCCTGTCACTGTCACATTGTCCCTTAATGCTAGCGCTGTTCTAAGGGGATGAAGATACGAAGATGTGCATTTTGTTTGTATTATAGGCTCAACTGAAAGATTTTAGAATTATTGATCACAGATATGAATTGGTGATGCAGCCAGATCAGAGTAGTGGAGAGTGTAAAGAAGGTGAACAATCCCTGGACCGCACCTTGACATTATTTGAAGTATGTCAAATTTGCATGAATTCCAATTTCTAGGAAATATTAATTACAAAATGCCCTATACCACACATAACAATTTTTTAAAATAATTTTAAAGAATAACATGTTGAGAAAAAGATAAGAATTAATTCATAGGTGCAGTTAAAGCAAAGGGTAGCTCACTCACAGTTAGACTCTTGCTGTGTTGAAAAACGATGTATCTCCTGTGAATGTATAATAAAAAGGGTTTTCTTACACCATGCAATTCTGACCTCAGCTTCTGGTCCCATGCAGGAACGTCAGCTTGTCCTCGTGGCCGATTCTACTGCACCAATCTGGGTTTCCGCCCACACTACATCCCATCATCAAGAGTCAATGATGGCATCTGTGGTAAGAACGTTTATATTGGTTTGTAGCAGATGAAAAAATGCTCTCCTTAGAATATACTTAAAAACGCCTTTTTGAAAACAAATGTTTATTTCTTGGAACAGAACATGGATCTGTACAGACACATTTTAACTGAACAAAAATCAAATCATCAATCAAGACAAAAATCTGGCTTTGGTGTTCAGTGTGAAGTGTCATGTATCCATCACTGAAAACCCTGTGTCTACTGCAGAGTCATTCACATTTCATTTGTGAATTTATGCTTATTCAAAAAAAGCTGCAGATACACACTTATTTCCATCCCTCAGTGTTCCTTGAAAAACACCCTGTTCTATTCCTCAGGGCTTTCGCTCTTGTAAAATCTGCCACAATCAGGTAGATTCAGCTCCTCTTCTCCTCCACTTCGAATAAAGTCAATACATCCCATAGTCAACATGGCCTCTCTCTGTCACCGGGGTTCTCAGCAGCGTTTGACGACATGCAACCCAAAAACATTAAGGAATGAAAAGTGAAAGAACATAAAGGGGAATGTATCTCAAAGCCCTCTTCTTTCCTTCCCTCCCACTTGTCTTCTCATACCCTGCCCTGAATGGAGCCACTTAATAGCTAACACGTCGTCAGTTTTCCTCGTCCGCTGGTTTTTCGAGAGGTTTTTCACCGACCTCCTTTTCTGGGCTATAAATGCTCTCATTGCTGCGGTCACCGACGGGGTTCGGGATAATTGAGAAGTTTCACACTGTGTCCACTCTC